AGAGCTGTTGTGCATAGGGTCGCTATGAGTCGGAGACGACTCGATGGCACATAACAACAACAACAACCTATTTTTTAGTTAGCAATTGAACATGTTTGGGAAACTATAGAGAGAGGGTGAACAAGACCATGTCAATAACTCTTGGTCGTTCATGCCCTGTCTTCACCAGAGAAGGATGGGTTCTTTGAGATGTTTCTTTTGAGATGTCTCTGGTCTGTAACGTTTTCTTCTGCCCTTTAACTACATGCAGCACAACTTGATGCTTCAAGAAACGCACGCTAAAAAAAAAAGAAAGAAACGCACGCTGACACTCATAATATGGAGGCCGTTCAACAAAGGAGGCACGACGAGTACTTCCTCAATGCTCACTCTGAAATATTTGTGGTTATCTGCGTAGGGTTATGGATTGTAGCTCTGGGGATCTTTGTCATTGTGTACGACACCTCTGATTTCCTGACCTCCTTGACTGTAATAACTGTAATAGTTTTGACCTTTCTTCTTGTTGAATTCAATGGAGTGATAACCCAGTATGGGCTGAACCAGAACTCTTGGAAAATTGTAAGTCAAAGAGGAGCACTGGAAAGGATGGGTGTGTTCAACCTGGACAGTTTGGAGAGACTCAACTCCAGCACTTGGCAATAATTGTATGCTTAACCTGTGTATACTGGCTCAATTGTAACCTGTGTATACTGGCTCAATTGTATACTGAAACTGTGGCCTTGGGTCTTTTAAATAACTTGAGCATTGTTTTTAAATTCTAATAAACTCTGGTTCTGAAATCTTGCAATTGAATCTCATAGTGTTTTTTGTTCTCTGTTGCATTTATGAATTCTCTCTGAAGAACTCCTTGTTCTCTCAGATTCATGTCAGATAAATGAGCCAGTGTCTTCTCACTGATGCTACATCTACCAAGGTCTTTGCTCTCCTCCGACCATCATGAAAGATCTAGCTGCTTCTGTCACTCTGACCTTTACATTAAACTCACAGATCTTCACTCATGTAGAGAAGGACCATCATAGATGATGGTGGGCCCTCAGATCACAGTCCTTTTAATGTGCCATATTGTATTCTTCTCACCTCAGATGCTCACTTCCTGGTCACGTTCAGGACCTCCTCATCACAGCTGCCTGTGAGACTGTCATCATTCAAAGCAAAAGCAGTGTATCCTCTCCCTACAGTCCTCCTGCCCTTCTCAATCTCTTTCCCTGACATCAGCCCTTCGCAGTTCTCCAACATGATGGAGGTTCCCTTTCATGCCATGACCGCCTCACTCTCCTGTATTGCCCAGACACTCTTCTTACTCTAGTTGGTGACACCTGCCAACTGCTCTCCCTCCTCTATCATTGCAATCCATTGGAACCAACTCTTAATGATCCTCTAGCAAGTTTCCCAAGTTGTAAATCACAGTGAAGGAGATCTTACTTAACATCTTTCTCCAGAAGAGGTGCGAGTGGATTCAAACCTCTAGGTGGTTTTCAACCACCAGAGAGGTGGAGCCATTGGGTTAGCACAACTCCCTATGGACGAGAGCACCAGAGTTCCCTTCTTCTGTAACTCTTTATGCTTGGTAATCTAGGACACTGACTGAATGGAATGACCTACTCTTGTGCAATTACCCAAGCAAGCTCACATCCAAGGGTAAAGCATGCTAAAAGTTTGCAAACTTTCCTCTACTACTAGAATCATATACGTCAGTAGGCAGGATCACTGTGATCCTGTCCTCTGTCCCCTGTTGCTTTATCATAGGATGAAGACACATGCCTTTCTGAGTTAATGCTCAAAACAAAAATCCCCACAAACAAAACAGAAACAAACAAAACTACCCAAACTTGTTGCCTTCGAGTCAGAACAGCCTCAAAACTGCTTCTCCAGTGGGTTTGCAGGAGGATGCCCACATTTTCCTCCCAGAGAGGCTGGTGGATCCAAAAAGCCCAGTGAGGAGCCAGTTTTGCATTAACAATGCATCTGCCTATGGACTACACCACCAAAGCTCCCATCTTTCACCTTGGTTTTGATATTTTCCAGATATAGGAGAAAATGTGTAAGTGACATGTGAAGGAAGTGTTAGAGAAAATCAGTAAGAAAAAACTAAGCACTCATAGAAAGTGAAAATGTAGGCACAAATGAAAAAATTAAACCTTCACATTATAAAAGTACAGTAGCTGCTGGATCACTTTTCCCCCTTCCCCAAATGAGAATTAACATGAATCTCT